ACAGAAACCACATGGAACTTGTTGGCATGTGGGCCAGTACTTATCTGGGATGAGATGCCTACCCCGCCCCCCATTGCTGGACCCAAGTGCTTGTTTCTGCTGGGGGGCCCTCGGAGGTGCCTTCCCCTCCTCTGCCTGAGAGTGAGGGCCTGATTCTTCACCCTGCTATATGTTTGCTGATTCCTTACAAAGCTAAAGACCTTCATGTGTTTATTGGCCACTTTGTGAATTGCCTATTCATGCCCCTCGCCCATTTTCCTCCTGGGTTAGTCTTTCTCACTGGATTGTCGGAGATGCTTACACCTTCTGAGTGTCAGTCTTTCCCTACACATGTTGGACTCTTTGGTTCCCAGGATATCACTTGTCTTCCTTTGGTTTTATCCTGTCTTTGGTCTGTATTGGCATCTCAAGCCGAGCCTTGAAAGACTGGTTGGATGGCGTGGAGAGTTCTGTGGGAGAGCTTGAACTCGAGTACAAGTGGGGACAAGCCCAGCCGTCCAAGGGGAGAAGCTGGAGGGGCAGGAGAGAGCACCCATGGAACGGGCCCTTGGAGGCCAGCTGGGCTGTGGCCCAGCACAGCCAGGTGAAGTCCAGGACCCAGGTGAGGTGGGGGCAGGGGGTAGGAGGTCCCCATCCTCTTTCCTGGTCCTGGCCATTTCACATACGGGTCTTGCCCAATCCTGCCCTTCCTTTTGAGATCTGAAAATCCACCTGATTCGTTTCACAGATAAGAGGTGGAATTACTCCGCCTAAGTACCCACAGCTGGTGAGTAGCTGATTAGAACCCAGAATGTTTGGCACCAGCCTCCTCCCCTGGGAAGCTCCCTGCCCTCCTCCCTCTACCTGTAGCACACACCCTGAACTGGACTCCAAGGCCCTCACTGACTCTACCTCCCTGCCTGGGCACACCCAGATGCCCTGTGGGACAAGCTCCCCCGGGAGAGAGGGGAGTAGGTTGGGGGTTGGGTTCCAGAGGGAACACAAAAGGGTCAAAAGTCAAACCCCATACCAAGAAGGCAGTCCCCCCACCCCAGGCCTCCTCAGTCTCTCCATCATCCGCCCACTCCCTTCTGCCCCAACCACCCTTCCCCCCATTCAAGGCCATCCTTCCCTTCCTGAGGGAAGCTGCCCCTTTGCACCCTGTTCACGCTGTTCCTGAAGCAGTCTGGCATAAGAAGGGGTGGCAGAGGGTCACACCCTACCTCGGCACTTCCTCCCTGGGTCTGGGCCCCAACATGGGCCCCAGGTAGGCACAGGCAGGACGTTCACAGCTAGCAGTGCTGGGAGACCACACATGTGCCCAGGCACAGGGGGACAGCTCCCACCAGCAGAAAATGCCTCAGCGACCCAGAGCGACCCAGAGCGGCACGTCGCCCTGAGGATGAGTCTAAAAGGAGCCTTGGGAGAAGAAGAGCAAGCCGCTGGTAGGGAGGGCTGACTGGTGCCGTGACGGACAGCCTTACAATGTTAGCAGCCACCGTGGGAAAGACCCAGGGCTGGGCTGGGGGCAGGACAGTCACGCGGGCCTTCAGGTTTATCCACCTGTTATTTCTTAAACTGGACCAGGCATTCATTATGATTATTTTTGTATGCCTGAAATATTTCACTAACCAACTGACTTCCAAACCCCTTCCGCCTTCACTGCCAGATCCTCAGGACAAACCCGAGCTCCTTGCCCCAGCACTCAAGGCCCAGCCCCTCCCAGTAGATCTCTGCAGCCTCCCACTGCGGCTCCCAGAACTTTGCTCCAGCTGTGGCTCACGGGAATGCCTTTCCTCTGCCCCACGTGGTCTTTCTGGTTAACGCATGGGCACAGGGAGCTTCTAAGTGGTGGAGAAATGAGATCAGATGGACTTTTAGAAAGATGCCTTTAGGAATCCCAGTGAGGAGGGCAAATTGAAGGAGGAGGCGGGGGCGCATGGAGAGGTGGAGAGAGACCTGCCCTGAGTCCAGCTGAACACCCCGGCACCCACCTACGCTGCCTTCACATCCTCATTCCATCGACAGTCATGGAGATGGAACTCCGGCCCCGGAAGAGTGAGGACAAGGAAGCAAGGAGGCTCGAGCCTTGAGCCCCAGGTAGTTGACCTAAGGCACCACTTCCCTAGGATGTCTCCCAGGGTCTGGGGGCTCCAAAAGGCCAATGGTCAACCCCAGGATCTCCATTCAGTCCCCGCCCCCAGTCATACTCTGAGATGCCAGAATGGGAAAGCTAGGCCAAAATGCAGGGAAACTGGGGCCCAGAGAGGTCAGCAGGGGAGAGCTGAGGTGAGGCAGGTGGATCCCAGATCCCTGGGGCCAATGACCTAGTTTCTTTAAATCTGGTGGTGGCCATGGACCCCCTGAGAGCTTCAGTGCGGGCCTATGAGGGCCTAGGTGGGGCAGGGCTTCCGGTGGGGTATGTGGTGAGGTATCAGAATGACCTTGGGCACCTGCCTGTGTGGCACCCCAAACCTTGGACCCTTTGTGAAGAGGCTGGGGTAGCGGGGGCCCAATCCCCCACAAATGTCTGAAGAAAGGTAGGGGAAGCACCTGGTTTCCCTGCTGGCTGCCCCTCACTTGGAGGCCACCTCCCCGTGAGCCTCAATCTCCTGGCCTGTGAATTGGGGGTTATAATTCCCACCACTACCGGTTGTGAAAATGAAGTGAAATCAATTATGTTTAGCACAGGGTTGGCACACAGAACGCGCTCATAAATAGCTGTCGGCATCCATTCACCGGTTCCCTGGGAACGTCAGCCTAGAGCCGGGGCTCCCGATGCCCCGACCCTGGCCGGGCAGAACGCAGTTGGGGCCCTTAGGGGTCACAGCTCTGCCTCTTGACCCCTCCATGTGGAGCCAGGAAAACAGTCCCGGAGGTCTCCCTCAAGGTCACAGAGGGTCAGTGCAAAGGGTAGGTGGAATACGACTCCTGGGGTGACGAGGAAGGCACTGTCCGTGGAGCCGGGGCGCCTACGCGCGCGCCCCGACTCGCATTGAGCGTGGGCCCCAGTCGTCCTCCCGGGCCCCGGCCGCCGGGAGCCTTTCCTCTCTAGAGGCTCGGGTTTCCAGGAGCCCCGCCCCGTGTCCGCCCGAGTCCGCCCGCCCCCCGCGCGCCCTCAAGTTTCTCCCAACTTTTCCGCGGGTCCTGCCGGGCGCCCCGCCCACCGGCTGATGACGTAACAATGGTGCAGCGTAGCGACCAATGAGCGGCGACGGGGTCCAGCAGTGCGGGCCAATGGCGGCGGCGGACGGTCCCGCGGTCCTGCCGGGCCGGGGCCGCACTGCGCCGCCCGCCGCCC